GGAGGAAAGTTTCGGATAGTTTTGACAAGCTGAGTCACTGCAAATTCACTAGGTATGAAAACACAAAATTTTACTGAAACATTCGAGAAAACTATGGATATATTATAGAAAAACTCTAAAGCAAAAAAGACTATGGAATCTAATAAAATTGTACGGACTCCGTTGTTCCAGGATAGGCCATGGAAATGAGTAACGCAAACATTTAAATTGGGTAGAATAGCAATCAAAAACCAATAAATGGCACACTCATATTCAAGCCCTAAGGAATGGGGTCTCGTAAAGATAAGGGAAACGCCGTTCATCAGGTCTGAAAAGTATACCAGGTAAGGCAATGAAATGAATGCCCTCAAAGGAGAATGCGCTGGCATCTTCTGAATGACGGCTAAACCAACTCGCTATAATATGGCTATCCAAAGAGAAGGTCTCGTCTATTCAACTTATTGCTCCGCACAAGAGCACATTTCAGACACACTGGATAGACGGGAAGAAGCTGATATAGAGCACGTTGACTTGTAGAACACGTGTTTCGATAAATCACTGCTTTCTTGTACACAGACTAGAGGCTTCTGTGCTACGAAGTACTGTGTAGACAGCTTTATGGAGGTTAGAGGGATGGCAGTTGGGGTACGGTAGAATGCACTGGAACTAACCGTAGACACCGGTGAAGCCTTGCAGGGTTTAGTACCAGGTGCCATGCTGTTGTTTGAGTACAGTATCATCAAAGACTGCAACATCAGTGTTGACACTGTTGCTTCTCTGCCGTACGCCACCAATCCCGCGGACAGATTGGAAAATGCTCGATTTTTCCTTACCTATGCCGTAAAGATAATTGTTGGGGATATCAATATCCCCCAGAAATTGTTGGGTCAATATCCCCCAGAAAACGCTGTTTTTATGTGTGCTAGCGAACTCCTGGCATCTTCAAGGTCAAACTATGAAAAATCAATCAATTATTGATACTCCAAGAAAATTTAAATCCGACCACGTACAGGATACCATTTCTTTCCACTGACTTGGGTTCGGAAGCTCCGGGCATCGCCTGTTGATCGTGTGTTGTTGGATTATTAAAGTTTGTGTCCGAGGTTCTCGTCTTCTTACTATTCGCCGTGCTAGGAGTCTGTATCAAGCAACATAGATGGGGATAGAGTATTGCCACAATCCGCATTATCATATTGTTTGCTCGCTGCGTGACCGAACCGTAACA